GAGTGGCCACTGCACTCCAGTCTGGGTGACAGAGTGAGACTCCGACTCAAAAAAAAAAGATAATGTATTTTTACAAAATAGAGATCACATTACATAATTTTGACTTCTGCCTTTTTCCCACTTGATAGTTAGTGGTTACAGTTTTTGTTATAACGTCAAACTGCCTTCAAATTTGCACTCCTTATTAGCTGCGTGTTCTAGCCTCTTAGATAATACTGTCATTTGGTAAACTAGTTCCCTATTCTTTAGTATTAGGAGTTAATTTTTATTATGAAAATAATCTGATAAGCTTAAAATGTGTATATTATAAGACTAAAACTCAATTCTAGAAGGGTCTTTTTTTTTATAGGAATGTGAGGTACAAGTGAGGATTAACTAAAGTAGGTTGCATGCAGGTGAAGTTTGGGCTTTTTTTTTTTTTTAATAAAGATGTGTGATGTACAATTCAGGGTTAGGTATACAAATGTTGATTATGCAGGTACCCTTGTTGATGAGGTATGCCCCTCCCTCCCCTTGCAGTTTCCCTCAGCTGCCACTCCCACCTCCACTCCCCCGACAGTTTCCCACTACTGCCAATCCTTTTCTTATATTATCATGACAATTGTTCAAGGTCCACTTATGAGTGAGAACATGAGGTACTCTGTTCTTTGTTTCTGTGATAGATCATGGAATATGATTGACTCTAAATCCATCCAGGTTGCTGGGAAGTCCATATGTTTGTCCTCCTTTATGGCTGCATAATATTCCATTGTGTATATGTGCCACATTTTTTTAATCCAGTCCAGCTAGATGGGTCTGTTTGAATTCAGACCTTGAGAACTTCTGTGCTAGATATAAGAATACAAAGATAGGTGAAACAGCCCTTGCTCTCAAGAGCTGCATTCAGATATTTCCAAAAGCCTGACTGCATTAATCACACAGTCTGAGACTGACATGGTTATGATACTTAGTACTTCTACTGGTAGCGCCTAAGTGTTACAGTGGCTGTGCCCTTGCCAACATATGACGCTTTCAGACTTCAAATTTTTGCCAGTCTAATGGGTGTGAATTAGAGAGTGTCTCATGATTTTGGTTTGCATTGTCCCAGTTACTAATGAACCTTGGGCTATGTTCATTAGCCTTTGGATTTCCTTTTCTGAGAAGTCTTTTGACAATTTTCCAACTGGAGTATCTGTCTCTTTCTTAGGAATTTTATAGGAATTCTGTGCTCTGCATGTGACTACCTCGTCATCTGTCTCACACTAGGTTTTCCTGTATTTTTGTTTGTCTCATGAGGCTTGTCTGTCTGCTCTTACGGTATTTTATTGATGAACAAAGTTCCTAGTATAGTAAAGTTTCTTTCTGTCTTTTTTCTTTATGGCTTATACTTCTTGTGCCTTTTATGAACTCCATCCATCCTCAGATCATACAGGTGTTTTCCTGGGTTGTATTTCTGAGTTTGCCTTCGGTATTGAATGGTTATGCTTTCCCATTTATTGTAGAGATGAGGTCTCACTAAATTGCCCGGGCTGGTCTCAAACCCGCAGCCTCAGGCAATCCACTCACCTTGGCCTCCCAAAGTGCTGGGATTACAGGCTGAGCCACCGAGCCCGGCTGGCATCTTTCATTTAGCATAATTGTTTTGAGATTCATCCCTGTTGCTGCATGTATCAAAAGGTCACGCCTTTTGATTATTGATCAGTATTGCATTGTATGAATATCCCACAATTTGCTTGTCCATCCACCTGCTGATAGATATCTGGTTGTTTCTGACTTTTGGTGATTGTGGATAAAGCTGCTGTAAACATTTATTGTAACACTTTATATGGCTGTACGTAGCTTTTGGGTAGACACCCAGGAATGGAATGGCTGGATTGTATGATAGGTGTCTTGTGCCAGAAGTGGTTGTACTCTTTTATGGTTCCATCTGCTGGATAAAAATAGACTTTGAAAACTTTTGGGGTACCTGCATAATGAACAGTTATATACCTAACCCTGAATTGTACCCCACATCTTTAAAAGAAAAAGAAAACTTTTCACAGGCTTCCTCAAAACTATGCAATATTAGATACAGTAGACGCAGCCAACTCTTTCCTATGTCAACCCATCTTGCCTGGACTGCTTTGCAACCCGCTTCCCTGCAGGATAGAGAGGGGTGCTGGGAATGCTGAGATGTTCTTGTGCATCAGTAACCCACGTGCTTTTCTCCCTAGCTGAACACTACCACCATATCCAATGCTACGGCCAATAGTAGCATCCGGCCTACCTTTGCGGGGACAATCTACCGCTCCCCCGTGTCTCGACTTCCTCCTTCCGGCAGCAAGGTTAGTATACTCTATGTATAAGTACACCCACACACACACCCTAGTCTGTTTCCCCAGACACCCCACCTATTTGTTCTAGGTTCTGAGATCCCTGCATTCAGTTAACATTGAGATGCTGAGAGCTGGCAGGTGCAAGCTAGCTAATCATTAGATAATGGTCAAAACAATTACTGAGAGAAAAGAGAACAGTCACTTTGACCCCACTGCTACCATGGGAAGCAATGGGATGTGCCTGGGAAACTGCAGGTCGAGGGGTGTCTGTAGGCTCGGTTTCAAGTCTAGTCTTCAGCAGGTACAGAGCGAGGTCCTCCTGCAAGTGGGTTCCAACCCAGTGATGCTGTGTCACCAAAAGAGAGGTGGGAAGTGTGTACTAAAATCCATTCAGTTGTTCAAAATGCGTTCAGTCTTTCAAATATTTTTATTAGGCTATACTCAAGGTGTATGCTCTGTAAATCATTAAGAACTTATACATGGGGGAACTCCCCTCTCCCCCCCCCCAAAAATTATTTTTTGGAGGGCAGATTCCTTGTAGTACAGGCTTTTCCTGCTAGGTAAGTATTTTAGGAGCCCATGCCATCAGTGTACCAGCTAGCACTGTTGCGAGAAGCTGTGTTCGGCTTCAGTGAATTTTTTTTTTTTTGAGATCCTTTCAACACTTGCCCATTTCATGAGGGGTGATTTATAAGTGCACCTGCCTACTCACACTGAGTGTTCAGCAGTTTTTGACCAAAACCAGCATGACCCCCATGCCCCTTTCTTCTTATTCACTTGATCTCTCTTGGAGCAACTTTTTTGTTTCCCTGGATGGAAAAGTCCTCAAAGGGAAATGATTTACCGATGTGGAAGAGATGAAACAAAAAAACGGCAGAAGCACTAAAAGACATCAAAATGGACAAGTTGAGTAACTGTTTTGAGCAGTGGAAAAAGTGTCTCAGTAGGTGTATTGCATCAAATGGAGCGTACTTTGAAGGTGACTAAAATTTAAACATGTAAGAATAAATACACAATTTTTTGTGTGTTTGCTTTTTTGAGTTGGAGTCTCACTCTGTCACCCAGACTGGAGTGCAGTGGCCACTCCTGGCCACTGCGGCCTTGACCTGCTGGGCTCCGG